GCCCGGCCCCGGGCGCTCAGCTCTTCCCAGGCAGAGTCAGAGTGGACGCACTTTTTCTAGCGACTAAGCAGTACGTCCTGGAAACAGTGCCGGCAATTCGAAGAGCAGGGCATTGAAAAATCTCTTGAAAAAATAAAAATCTTTTGGGGGGTCAAGACGGAATAACCAATTTATGACACCATTCATGAAACTGCTCTAGTACACGCGACACGGTTTCATACTGGACAACAGCTTTGCACATTGGAAGAACCAAATGCTGCATAGTAACCGTGGCCTTTGAGTACATGGTTCCGCACTTGAGTATATTCGTGAATCAGGATAATTCTCAGGCTTGTGTGTCATTCACTAACTGTGATCAGATTTACTTTAGACAGAAGCACACCAAAACACCTTTGGTTCAAAAAAGGATTCCTTCCCTAATGAGTGAGAAGGCCAGTAAATGATATGTCATGAGCAATAAAGCAACTGGAAAGCAATGTTTCCGATTCAATAAAGAAGCAAATCAAACAGGGACTTAAAGATTTTTCTCATATAATAATATATCATAAAGATACAGCCACGAAAGTTGATGTTACCTAGTTCTATATATAAAAGTGAAAAAAAAAAAAGCCCACCAAAAACGTTTCAGACCTCTTAAGGCTGAATTGAGTCGTTTTTGTTTTTTTTTTTACAAACAAATTTTCTTTTACTTTTGGATGATACAGATGGTGAGGTTCATGTTCATCACTTCTTGTCACAACCTTTCAGATTCCTTCAGAGATTCCTGTTAATAGAGAGGGGGAAACCTAGTGTTAAATTATTTCAAAAATGAAAGTTATTCAAAACAGGTAGCAAACATAGAATCTAGGACACAATAGCAATAGTAAAGGCTAATGATTAGTCGCCAAAATATGTAAATCTTTTGAGGATTTAAACATTCCCACTCATCCCCTCCCTTGCTTCATTGCCAGGATAGGGAAGAATAGGAAAATCTGAGTTGGGAGAGGTGTGAAAATGGAATATTGGAGGGAAGGTGGGCCAAGATTAGGGTGAGGCAAATGAGGTGCCTGGGACTCAAATTTTGCACCCTGGGCATCTCGAATCCTCACCCTAGCCCACCCTGCGAGGTGGAATGGAGGGGACACAATGGCGGCTAACAATGGCTGGCCCAAAGAAAGGACTGATGTAAAAAGTACAGTCACTGCCAGCCACCCCCTGTCCTAGCTGCTTCCACTCTAAGCAGGCTCTCTGAATCTTCTGATGATTCTAAATTAGTCCAATTCCTGCAAGAAACCAGAGTTTTCAGTTAAATTAAAAATAGATGGGGAAAAGGGAAAATATTTTAAAAAGATGAAAGTGTTCAAATTTTCAACATGACGTAAATTGGTAAATAACTAATGCTTTATATGCTGTGTTACACAAAAAGTACTATATCACCCTAGCTGGTTTGGCTCAGTAGATAGAGCGTTGGCCTGTGGACTAAAGGGTCCCAGGTTTGATTCCGGTCAAGGGCACATGCCCAGGTTGCAGGTTCGGTCCCCAGTGGGGGGCGTGTAGGAGGCAGCCAGTCAATGATTCTGTCATCATTGATGTTCTATTTCTCTCTCCCTCCCCCTTCCTCTCTGAAATCAATAAAAGTATATTTTTTTAAAAAGTACTATATTTTCCATTTGGTCTTTACAAAAATGCTTTGAGAATTTTACATTTTACAGTTGAGAAAATAAAGCCCAGGGATTCAGTGGTTCTCAACCTTCCTAAGGCCACGACCCTTTAATACAGTTCCTCATGTTGTGGTGACCCCCAACCATAAAATTATTTTCATCGCTACTTCATAACTGTAATGTTGCTACTGTTATGAATTGTAATGTAAGTATCTGATATGCAGGATGTATTTTCATTGTTCGCGACCCACAGGTTGAGAACCGCTGGAAGTAATTTGTCCAAGGTCACACAGCTCGTAAGTGGCAGAGACAGGATTTAAGTCAAGCCAATTGGCCCTAATGCTTGTGCTTTTTACCCTACTATTCTATTTGATATTTGTAGAGTTCTTCATAATCTGCAAAACATTTTTGGATCTATTATCTCAATAAAGGGCATACTTTAACTTGACTCATTAATAATCCAGATACTATTTTCATAGTATATCATTCTCTGAAGTTCTTGTCTAGGTTCCCAGAAAGTACATGGCTTTAGAGTGCTATAAATTTTCACAGAATGTGATGTAGGTCTTGAAATTACACTTGTCTTTTTTTCTAAATATGTCAAATTACTTGCAATCTTAACTCACTGTTTTCATAATGTAAAATAATCACACAGCAGTGAAGATGATATATTGCT